GGGTAAGGGATAAAAATAATTCCATACAGTTTTGTCCGATGCTCTGCCACATCACAGTTGGAGGCCGGTAATGGTCTTGTCCTCAGAGCATGCTTCCTGCCCTCGACACTGCTGGGTCTGGTGCAGGCATGCACTGGCTTGTTTGCCCTCTTCCGAGTCAATCATGCTTTAGCAACAACATGGTGCAAACTCCAACACCTAGTTTTACAGGTTTCAGGCTGCCCCTCCGCTTTGAGCCACTATGCCCTATCCCTTCTTCCTGGTGGGAAACTGAGTCCATTGGGAAGGCATGAAATAATCTTTCAAAACAAGAACTCTACCTAAGAATAAGGAGTGCAGAGATGTAGGCATGCTGTGGTGGTACCATACATTCAACTTAGGGTGGTGCCCTTCACCTGTAATACACTGGTCAGTCTACCCGTAGTTACAAGTCACATAATGGTCCTTTAAGTTTGAAAGGCCCTTTGGGTGGGAGTATTGAGGGATGTTAACCCTTTACATGCAGAATGGTGGGTATTCTAGGTAGGAAGTGAACATTTTCTTCATTGAAGTAACATAAAAGAAAATGTTAAGTTTTTGAGTGGTCTAAGTTGAGAATGGAATTAACTACTTTTATTAACAAATTTTAACACTGTTTTTCATTTTTTTAATTTTATTTTCTGTGTACAGTGTTTTTGCCTCCATGTATGTCTGTGCACTGTGTGCATGCACAGTACCTATGGAGAGCAGAGAAGGGTGTTGGATCTCCTGGAACTGGAATTGCAGACAGTTGTGACCTGCCCTGTGGGTGCTGGGAAATGAACTGGGTCCTCTGGAAGAGCAGCCAGTGCTCTTAACTGCTGAGCCATCTCTCCAGACCCCTGGTGTCCATCTTTTCTTAAGGAAGTTTTCCCTATTGTTATACATGCTCTTACTAGAATATAGAGGAGTTCTCTATCTCAGAGCTCTGGTAAATGATGTGCTTAAAGATACCCAGGGAGTCGAGGGTGTAGCTTAGGGTAGAGCATGTGCTTTCCAGACACGAGGCCCCAGCTCAACCCTCACCTCCAAAACAAACAACATCTATGTCCTCTGACAAACCACAGGATAGAATCTGAGATGCAAACAGCTTGTTTTCTTCACTGAGTAAAACTTATCAAGGGTTGATTTTTGCTTTGTTTCTCTAATGATATACTTCTCTGTCTTCCTCAAATAATTAGACTTGAGTCCTGTCCTTTCTGGTTTTCCTGTAATTTTGCAGGTTGGCATTTGGGAGACTATCACTCAAAAAACTGTTTATATTCTCAGTTGCTTCCTATTCTATAATTAGGACACACTTCCATGAGTCAGCTATTCGCACATTAGTTTCCATGTTGTCTTAGTTACAGTTTCTATTACTGTGATAAAATACCATAACCAAAAAGCAAGCTGGGGAGGAAAGGGTGTATTTGACTTACACTTCAGCATTGCTGTTAATCACTGAAGGAAGTCAGGATAGGAACTCAAACAGGGCAGGGACCTGCAGGCAGGAGCTGATGCAGAGGACATGGGAGAGTGCTGCTTACTGGCTTGATCCCCATGGTTTGCTCAGACTGCTTTCTTATAGAACCCAGGCCACCAGGCTAGAGATGGCCCCTCCCATAATGGGCTGGGCCCTCACTGATCTATCACTATTTAAGAAAATGATTTGTCTACAACTTGATCTCATAGAGGCATTTTCTCAATTGATGTTCGCTCCTTTCAGACGACTCTGAAAGGACACAAGACTATCAAGTTTACTTAAAACTATCCATCACAGTCATGTTCCAAGTACTCAGGTTCCCTCAGAGCACATTGCTCGGAGGAGAACTCATTTAACAGACCATTCCTAAGCATCTTTTCCATGAACTGTAGCTGCTATTGATGCAATGGAGTCCTTCCTTCAACCACAAGATCAGAGTTTAGTCGGCTTTGTCAAACATAAGAAAGTAATTATACTCTTCCTTGAGTTGATATTTGTTGAGGTTCTGCTATGCTTCCACAGAGAGACCAGACTCTCAAGCTGTGTAGTCAACAAGACATTGTCCTTCCCTTCTACACGTTGGTCTCCCCTGAGGGTGACAGACATAGAACAATGATAATACTGGTGTGGACAATGATAATGAAGTTAAGGGTGGCAGTAAGTGATGAGAATTACTTACATGCTTAGCTCTTTGTAAAGATCAATACTTTATGTCATTCCATCCTCACAACTCAATGAGTATTAGCACCCCCATTCCACACATGTAAAAATTCAGTCCTAGGGTGACTGGGGACTTACTCAAGTCACAGTATGTGATGAATAAATGATTTAAATGTGGTTTTTCATGGATCTAGAGGCTGGTTCTTGTTTGTTTTGTTATTGTTTGAGACATGGTTTCTCTGTGTAGACCTGGCTGTCCTGAAACTTACTCTGTAGACCAGGCTGGCCTCTAACTCAGAGATCCACCTGCCTCTGCGTCCCAAGTGCCGTGAACCACCACTACTTGGCTTTAGAGACTGATTCTTGGGATTTTATCATCTTCATAAAATTAGAACGTATAGCTATGCACACTGCAAGGTGTGACAGGCTGTGACGATCAGCAAATAAAACCAATGGATATTTACAGAAAGAGACCTCTTTGCTCCTGCATCCATGGGCAGTAATGAGACTGAGCTCTGCTGGGATTGATTAGTAGGATCTAGACCTGTACAGAAACGGTGCCCAAGCACTCCAGGGGGGCAGGGCAGTCCTTTCCTCATCTGCCTATTGAATTGCTTCTTCCTTCTCTCTACAGTCCGAGCTACAAAGTCCTGGGGCAGCTCCCCGACACCGATGTGTACATTGACATAGATGCATATGAGGAGGTAGGACCTTTTCCTGATACCTTAAATGAGTGTAAGCATGTGCTGGACATGGCTGAGTAATGTTTCTACCCATGGTGAAGGAGAGAGAGGAAGAGAGACCTAGTGAGCAATGTGAAAGACGCAGCTTCCATTCACTGCCTGGACAAAGTTTTGTGCTTTATTAATACCTAGTATACCTAGGGTATATTAATTCCCCTGTTTCCTAATGTTTGTTTCAATGAGAATGGGTATAAGAGTGCACATTGTAAAAACACTGAAGCTGAGGATGCTTTGTATGTGCAAGGTTTTCTTTTGATGAGTATAAACCAGTGGGGAAATACCAGTTTTAATCATGTTAAGATCTAGGTGGTGGGACGATGGTGCTCTCCCACTTCATCTTTAATAGCTAAAATTACAGCCTCAGAGTTCCTTGATTTTAATGTTCTTGTCATCTACAGAATCTTCAAAGACTTTACAAAACCTTTGAAAACTATTTCCTTTGTTTTCTGCTTGGGGAGACTCACTATAAATTATTGGGAAATGAGCCAAGTGTTAGCATAGATGTCTTTCTATTAAATTACTAAACTCTAAATAGAACCTTTGGGTTCTATGAGACTTCTCAAGAAAATATTCACCCTGCTTTATTTGTGTTGAATTGTGGATCAAACCAGGTAACTCTGTGTTACCTCATTTGCCTGTGGTCCCGGTGGGTCTGGCAACAGCCTAGCCTTTCTTCTCCATTCTTTTTCTCCTTTGGGTCTTTTTCCAGCTCTTCCTTGTGTTTAGTAGTTTTAAAAAAATGAAGCAAAGACTATATTGTAAAATAAACAGGAGGATGTGTGTTCTCTAAGCTTTCAAATGAGGTGTGGTTGTCGATCCTGGCTCCTCACGTGGTAGAGGGGAGCACTGCTTCCCTTCAGGAGTTAGGACTGGCCTAGGCAGCAGAGTCTCAAAGAACAAAACCCTTCCTTCATAACTCTCCCTCTCAGAGTTTTAGTTGAGCGACATAATTTTATCTAAACATGGTAAGAGGGCCCTTCATACTTTCTGTGTTCATCTTCATGTTGGAGGAGGGAGATAACTGCAATTTCGATTCTGAAATATACCCAGGTGTTGAAATCATTATGTTTTACCTCTCAGGTGAAAGAAATTCCTGGAATAAAAATATTCCAAATAAATGCCCCAATTTACTATGCAAATAGTGACTTGTATAGCAACGCGTTAAAAAGAAAGGTGAGCTACTTTTTATTTATTAAGAGTAATAAATAAAGACAAAAATTTTAATTTTTTAATTAGAAATTAAAAGTTGATTCTTTCTGAGGAGGACATTGTGGGTTGGAAGAGATTAAAGGATTATTTCTCTGCCTACTAGAGTAAAATATTCACTATTTTAAACTTTTGGAGTTTTTTGTTGTTGTTGTTGTTTTTCAAGACAGGGTTTCTCTGTGTAACCCTGGCTGTCTTGGAACTCACTATGTAGACCAGGGTGGCCTTGAACTCACAGAGATCCACCTGCCTCCACCTCTGCTGGGATTAAAGGTGCGTGCCACCACTGCCCAGCTATTTAAAAAATTTTATGTGTACCATCCAGTGTCTGGCATTAAATACACTCCCATGGTTGAGCAAACATTCCTTTGTCATGTGCATGCATTACATATTTAAAGAAATGAAAAGGCAATCTTACTCTAAGACTCCTGTGGGCCGTGATTAAGACTCAACCTCCACTACCCACACAGACAAGTTTAGAAATCTAAGCATTCTACATTTAGTAAATACCATTGCACAGTTTTTCAGTTATTCAGTGTCTGCTAGTCTTGAATGAAGACTCAGCCTGAGAAAAACAACTAATAGCTGTGACTCAGTTCAGGGCATCCGAGGGAAAGGTAGAACACGGGTCGGGTGATAACCTGGTACAGAAAGTGATTGGCCAGGGAGAGCTGGAGATTTAGTGGCATTTGGGTGGGTCCTTGGGAACTGTGAAATGACGTTGCATCCACTGTCTTTGTACAGACTGGTGTGAACCCAGCACTCATAATGGGAGCAAGAAGAAAGGCCATGAGGAAGTATGCGAAGGAAGTCGGAAATGCCAATGTGGCCAATGCGACTGTTGTCAAAGTGGTAAATGGTCTTGTAATTTCTCTTTTCCTCTTAATCTGCATGTCCCCCATCTTTAACCATGTTAAAATCTAAACACAGCATGAAGCTGCGCATATGGGAAGGCTCTAGGTTTCCTCTGTGTGTTATGAATGTGAGACAGCTGGGTGTGCTGGGCATATCAGGAGGCCCCAGTCTGGGATAATTGAGATCCTGTCTCAAAAACAAGAGAAACAAGAATGTGATAAAGTCAGTTGTGAGGATACTTATGAAATAAGCAGTGAAAGCAGTTTTAAAAAATTAAAATAACATAGTACCTTAAGAAATTTGACTACTATACTTTGTTATTTAGCTGATAATTAAAAACTCAAAGGCTGGTTTTTGCTGTTTAGACTTCTGGTAACTTGTGACCCTTCAGGCTGAAGTTAATAGGACTATTTTCTAAAATAGTGGGGACAATGAATAAGAAATATAAACTGTGCTGGACTAAAATAGAGGGGAATGTGTATGCCTGAAGAAACTTAGCTAAATAAATACATATATTGATTTTTGAGAACACATGGACTTATTTTCCATTATGAATCTTTCTCATAGGAAAAAAAAGTGAGTTGTATAGAAAATTCATGACTTATGGTGCTGAAGAGGTGGCTCAGAAGTTACAAGCATTAGCCACTCTTCCAGATGACCTGGGTTCAACTCTAGTACCCACATGGTGGCTCATAACTTTAACTCCAGTCCCAGGGGATCTGCTGCCCTCTTCTGGCCCCCATGGGCACTGCATGCACATGGTGCACAAACGTAGATGCAGACACATCACTCATACACATAAAATTAAGTTAATTTTAAAAAGAGAAAATTCATTGTCTCATTTTTGACATAGGATGCAGAAGTAGATGGAGAAGATGCTACGAAGCCTGAAGAAGAGGATGATGAAGTAAAATATCCCCCAATAGTCATCAAAACAACATTTCCTGAAGAGATGCAGAGATTCATGCCCCAGGGGGAGAATGTTCACACTGTCATTCTTGACTTTACACAAGTCAATTTTATCGATTCTGTTGGAGTAAAAACTCTGGCTGGGGTAAGTACCACCTGGAGCAAGTCATTCAGTGTCTGGACGCCAGCATTAGCACCAGTCCCCTCAGGGACAGGGACCAGAGTCCCATGTCAATTCTTACTTTGTTGTTGTTGTTTTTGCAACTTTTGGTTATGGACATTTTTTAATATAGAGTATAGTATAATGATCCTCAGCTTCAGCAATTAACAGTTTATTGCTGGTCTGACTTCATGAATTCCCAACACTACTTTCTCTTATTGTGAAGCACGTCCTAGATGTCACATTATCTGTACATATCTTAGTATCTATCTCTATGATATTTATTTAAAAATCATTGTCATAACATCTTTATTACACAAAAATAAAATTTAATAATGTTTTGATACTCCTAGTAGTCATTGTTGGTATGGAAACCAAATAAGTACAAAATTACTTTTACCTTATTAGCTTAAAGGTGCATAACTGCTAAAGCTAAGTAGCACAAGAAAATGAATTTAAGTGTCTCATATCTTTAATACATATTGGTAGAAAATGACTTGCACATGGCACAGGGTCAAGAAAAGTTAAACTTTGTTTCAATATTGTTACAGATTGTGAAGGAGTATGGAGATGTTGGTATTTATGTGTACTTAGCGGGATGCAGTGGTGAGTACACCTTAGGATGAGAAAGCCTTTTTACTTTAGATTTATTCATTTTAATGTGTATTAGTGTTTTGCCTGCATGTATGTACATATACCATGGGCATGCCGAGGGGCCTGCAGGGGTCAGAGGAGGGATCAGAGCCACTAGAACGGGAATTACGAATTGTTGTGAACATTGTATTGATGCTGAAATCCAAACCTGAGTCCTCTGAAAAAGTAACAAGTGTTTGTAACTGCTGATCTATCTCTCCAGCCCCTGGATGGAGAAAGTTTTAATATTCTAGGTTTTTGTTTGTTGTTTGGTTGGCTGGTTTTTTGTTTTGTTTTGTTTTGTTTTGTTTTTAGAATTAACTGCACTTGTAGTTTTTTCCTATAATTTAAGCTTTTTTATAGAATAAAAATTTTACTCCTCTGAAAAAAATCACTGTAAAGCCAGTTTTGAAATCAGTTAGTTGCAGGCATTGAGATGGCCTTCTGGCCTGGAGTTGGAGGGCAGGAACTGGTCAGAGTTTACTATTTTAGTAGCTACTACACATAAGCCATAATTCTATGAATCATTCTGCTTGTTAGGATTTCCATCCAATGGAATAGCTTTGCTGCTACTTTTGTTTTATATTATATTTCAGTTAAGATGGTGCTTAAAAACAAAATCCACAAGGAGACATAATTATTCATCTGTTAGGTTGGTGAAAACCCAAACATCAGCAGCACATTCCAAAGGCACCTGGTAGAGAACAGGTTGCCACAGATGGAATAGTGGCTGGGCAATGCAGCAGCCCCTGTGGAAGGCAAACACAACAGCTTTCCACGGTACAAGTTCAGCAGATCCACATCTTACTGCATACGTACAAAATGACACATGGCATTTGTCCATTACATCATCGTCTATAAAAACAAAAGGCTAGAAAAATCTCAAGTGTCAAAAGAAAAGGAACCCATAGGGGGAGGGCATGGTGGCACATGTCTTTAATCCTGTCCCTCAAGAGGCAGAGGCAGATGGATCTCTGTGAGTTTGAGGCCAGCCTGGTCTGCAGAGTGAGTCCTGGGACAGCCAGGGGTATGTAAAGAGCCCATCTTTTAAAAAAGGGGATAGAACCCAATGAATAAATGAAAGCACAACTATATAATATACTATCAGACAATCATAAAAAGTAAGTAATAAGTAGATCTGGGGATATAGCTCATTTGGAAGAGGGTTTGCCTGCATGCAGAAGGATCTGGGTTCAATCATCAGCAGAAATGAAAATAAATGTAAACACAGTTCAGAATTACAGAGAACGAGTGTGTGTTGTATTTCCGGCAAGGGAAGAGGGAAAATAAGAACTTTCTTTTTCCAACAGGCTTGTTATATAGCTCAGGCTCTCCTCAAACTTATAATCTTCTTCGCTTCAGCCTTCCTAGAGACAAGATTATAGGCATGCACCACTGTGCCTGGCTAGAACATACACTTAGGTTTTTATTTTTGTAGAGAAATCATGGAAGAATATACTAGAATGAAATACAGTCATTTCCTGAGATTGGAACTATGAGAGGGTCGAGACAGATTGGAATAAGACTTACATAGCTTTTGGATATTTAAAACTATGTGGTGTACAGGGTGTGGTGGTGCCTACCTCTAATCCCAGCACTTGAGTGACAGAAGCAGGCAGATTTCTGTAAATTTGAGGAGAGTCTGGACTGCATATGAGTTCTAGGTTAGTCAGGGATACATAGTAACACGTGTGTGTGTGTGTGTGTGTGTGTGTGTGTGTGTGTGTGTGTGTGTTCACATATACATTCACATGTAGATACTATGTAATGCCAAATGCCAGGTGTAAACCCCAGCATTTGGGGAAGGGAGAAGGAGATAAATCAAGAGCTCAAGGCCAGCCTAGGTTACATGAGAACCTGTCTCTAAATTAACAAATTAGTTTTGTAAACTATGACAGATTACTCTTTTCAATGTTTGAGATCAAAACATTGAATGTGAAGTATGTTTCTTTTCTTTGTATAGCACAAGTTGTGAATGACCTCACCCGCAACCGGTTTTTTGAAAATCCTGCCTTAAAAGAACTTCTGTTCTACAGCATCCATGATGCAGTCTTAGGCAGCCAAGTCCGAGAGGCAATGGCTGAACGAGAAACCTCTGCTCCAGCTCCCCAGGATGAGATGGAGCCCAATGCCACACCCACCACACCCGAGGCATAAAGGACCTGCACGGGGTTGTGCCCCTCTCCTGCGTTCTGAACTTACGCACTTTAAATACTAGACTGCAGCTTTTTTTCTCCTCCCCACCGGGAAGGCTTGATTTGGAGGGTGAATGATGCGTACCAAGATGTATCTCATACTTGTGTTGTTTAAATTGGATATTTCAGAGATTAACTGCCTTCTGCACTTAGGGGGTGACATTTCTATTATATCTTAGTGTTATTTTTGTTTTATTTTTATTTTATTCTCATTTCTGATTTATCATCTGTAATCGTTTGAAACTAATCACATGAAACTACAAAATTAGCAAGTGTCTTAAAATCTGTGCATAAAACATAAATTACCTCTAATTTCAAACTCTCATTTATTAGTGTACTACTTAATTTAAAGAAAGAGAGAAAAAAGAAGAAAGAGAAAAAAGAAATGGCTCCAGGTTAGTCTTACATTACTCTTTACAAAGGGAGACGGTCCCTGCTAGACTGCAGGAGCACACCCACCCACACGCCAATCTCAAAACATTTCACTGTCTTCGTCATGTACAGTTCCGAGTATTACATTTCACTCTCACAGCTTCTGGTTATAGAAAAGCCCTGCTTTCCTTTGTTAAAGGAGTTCAGCCTGGCTGATGGTGTTCCCTCCAATAGTCTTCATCTTCATCTCTCATCTTTGCCTCTGGAGGCATTTCTTCTGGTTCACGATCTTCATCGTCATTGAAGGCTGTTGCTATGGAAAGGGTTTTTGGAGGGAGGTAGAACTGTTCCCTTAGGCTTATTTGATCCACGTTTGTTGGAGGTGGCTAATGCTTCCTTTGTCTTCTGACCACCCATGGCAAATCCAAACTTGACGATCTTTGCGAGCGTCCTTGGGAGGTCTGCAGCAGTTTCTTCAGCTTTTCAGCGCTGTGACTGGAACTTTCCCCTCCCATTACTGGAAGAAATGTTTACAGTCTTAGTTTTCACAGGTTCTTCTGTTTCTTCGGGTCCTGCAGTGGTTCTGGCTCGCTGCAGCTTGCCAGGTCTCTCTCTCACCTTCTGTCCACTTTCTTCACCACGGCTGCTTCCACACTCGGTGTTTGTTATCTTTGTAAGACAAGCACTTAAACACTTTACTTAGAATATACTGTCACCAGACGTTAGTGTCTCCTTCGTTTTGTACTTATTTGAGGACAGACTGTCTATAATCAGTTTTCTAACAAGAGGATATAAGCAATGTTCTAGAAGTCCTGGTTTTAAAATAACGTGTTATTACAGAATTGATCTAAGTGCATTATGGATGAGACATAGGAGAATAAGAAAACAAAACATATACTCCCTGCTCAGAGATGACCACCACTGGCACTTTACTGAATATCCCTCCAGATTTTTCCCTGTGTATATTTATTTTCTAACAAAAATAAGCTCAGGTCTGCAAAATGTTTTATAGTTCATCCTTTTAGTTGGCATTCTTCACTTTCTCATTCCAGAGTATTTCTTCATGCAGTATTTAGGTTTCCTACTGTACTGGAATTTGCAGTTAGTTTGTCTAAGGTATTAATGACTTTACATTGTAATTGGTCATGTGCTTTACGTCTATTTCAATTTATACAGTTCTTTTGTTTTTTGACAAACACAAACCTGACTTGGACAGTTGCACTGAAGAATTCCAGTTTGTCATTGTGTCTGGCTGCTTCTCCCGGTGTTGTTGGGCTTGCTCTGCTATTCCCCACATTACCTGCCATCCAGAAGTCATAGTTCAAGACACATGGATGCTTTCTATTGCGCCACTCAGAAAAACTAGAATGTCTAGCTTGCCTACCATTTACAGTGTGCAGATGAACTAGCCAATCCACATGGCAGTTTGATCCTTACATTGGTTTTCTGCTTTGCATATTATCCATATGCTGCTTCTTTGACATTAAATGGATGTCACTGCTCATTAGCCATTGAACCAGAAATTATAACACTGGGTGACAGTCCTTGCTGAAGTGAGTGCTTTTATTAAAGTCTGTCCATTTCTGTCTAGCTCTCTCATTTCTCTTGCATTTATTAGCTTGTCAATCTGTGTACACTCTAGTTTTCCCTCCACAACTTGAATGATTTGGTCATCCTTAAACATAGATCTACTGGCAAGGCAGGCTGAATGTCCCATGTCCATGTAATTATCATTTTCAAAGTAGACTTGCTATCTTTATAATTTTAATGTGCTTCATAACATTGTATTCTTTTAATGCTCCAAGTGTCACAGCTGTGGCCAGAAAGCTTCACTATGCATTGTGCTTTTGTTGGTGATAGTGAAATAGCCTTAAAAACCTTTAAGGTCTTTGAGAGCCAACCTCCCAGGTATAGTTAGCTATCTTCCTCAAAAGCCTGTATGTTATGTTAACGATTCATCAAACAGCCTGTGATGTTTGGAGGTTAAGGGGGCCTTTAAGCTGATTTCATCTTGGTTTTTGTTGTTGTTGGGACCTCAAACTCACTATAAACTCATGATCCTCCTCCTTCGGCTCCACAAGCACTGGGGTTCTAGTATATGCCATCATACCTGGCTTTCTTACACTTCTAACATCAGTTTATTCTCAATAAATCAAAGAAAGCATAGGCCAACCTGTCTGAAGTTCTTTCTGCTTAAGAGCTGTTGGAGTTTTGTTTGTTGTGTGTGTTTTGTTTTTAGTTGGGTCTCTAGGACTCACTATGTAGCTGAGGATGACCTTGAACTCATGATCTTCCTGCTTAACTAGTGCTAGAATTAGATGCATGGGCCACCACACCCAGCTAAGAGTTGCTGTTATGAGTTTGTCATTTTGACTTTGTTGTTGTTGTTTCTTATTGTCACTTTGTTGGTTTTCATGAAGATACTGCCCGAAGGAAAATGTGCAGACCCCAGTAGAAGTGTATTAACACAGTATGCTGAGTTCCTCAGTAACTTCATTAATATTCAATGTAGACCACTTCCTTCTAGTCCTTTACCCTGGCCTGCATGAAACAGATTTACAACCAGGTATTTCTTTGCAGGTATCACGCGCAAGATCAGATACATCTTCATTCTGACAGACTGCCTTCTGAAAGAGCAAATAGTTATAGAACTTAAGCTTACGGTAGAAACCTTTGTAAAAGAGCCTACATTATTTTGGCCACTTAAGTAGAATCTAAAGCTTTAAGCAATATTACAAAACACTTAACTGTGTATTCCTTAGCACCAGTTTGAAGTCCTAGTGGCCGAGAAAAGTAATGTTCTACATTTCACCTGCTTTTATTTTACTCCAGTTCCATTTGTAACTTTTAAAAAGTAGAATCCTATCATGTATATAAAGAACAATTTTTCCCCAAGGTTGGAAAATATAGTTTTGTTTTATTATGCATCTGAAAACGTTAAATGTTTAACATTCCATCTGTATGTAAATACACCCAAGTATTTTACTCAGAATTGTTCCAATGGAAATTCCGATTTTATTCTTTTTTAGCTTTAACTCTTCCCTCTTCCAGGAAGTCAATGTATAAACCTGCCTGTTCTCTGTGGGCCTTAGTAACCACTACTGCATCTTTTCCAATGCTTTTCCGCCCTTACCCACATCACCCACATCATAAGGCTGGCAGGGGCTCAGTGGGTAAAGGTACAAGCCAAACCCGATGACTCAAGTTCAATCCCCAGAACCAACTTCTCCCCCTCTGGCCTCCACATGGGTTGTGGCACACACACACACACACACACCTTTTAAAATAGTAAAAGTAGGGGCTGGAGAGATGGCTTAGTGGTTAAGAGCACTGGCTACTCCTAACTGTCTGCAATCCCAGTTCCAGGGGACCTGACATCCTCATGTAGACATACTTGCAGCCAAAACACCAATGACATAAAATAGAATTTTTTTAAACTGTGAAAACAATGGGCATTACAGGCAATGACAAATATAGGACTTGAGACTTAAACCAGCCTTGTTTCATGGCAGTACAGGAAGGCTGTTTTCAGGAAGGTCTGTCTCATAAATTGTTGTGCTCAAATCCTGTATAGTACACTTCAGGAACGGATGGAATGTATTTTTAAAACCAAAGATGAGGGCCAAGGACACTCCAATCATGGTCACAGACACTGACTGAATCTGTATAAGCCTGTGGCAGCTGATGGTGGGACCCCAACTGCCAGTGTCATCTGGATAGAACCCAGAAAAAGTTGACGATATGGATCCTCTCCAAGGCCTAGGAGATACTCACTTTGTAGTTTTCAGTGTCTAAAATGTCTATCCACGTGACCTCATGCAGCATGCTTACCCGTTTAGTAAAGGAGGCACCTGTCTCCCAGTGAGTACTTGGAGGAAGTGAGTCTGACCTCCTCCTGTGTACACGAATCTTCCCTGGAATGACAGAGGTGTGCTTTCTATGTGATGGTGGTGGTAGCGGGGTGCCCTTAGGTGGGGATCAGAGAGGGAAGGGTAGGTGGGGAAGTCCTTAACTATTGACTACTTTAAAGATAGTAAATCAACTTAAATTCTAAAACGAAACAATTTCCTTGAGCCTGTATGCTTCCACGAGTGCAAAATGCTGCTGCCTTTTTTAGTGTTTCAGGAATACTTTTATAGGATTCAGTATACTGAGATTCTTGACAATGTTTTGAATGCTGATAAAAGTTTGAGAACTGATAATGTATCATCTAATTATCCAAATACATATCCAACTTAAAACAAAAAAACTTCAAACCCCACCAGCAAAACTGTCAAAAGTTAGCATTGCACCATGGCTGTATACTGATTTGGACTGAATCAAGTTTGAACATCTTAATGATACACATCTCCAATCACTAACTTGAGTTAGCTTTCTTGTGAGCTAGGCTACTGCGGGGTTATAATACTTTTTCTAATCAAAATCAAGGGAAAAAAAATCCACACTGATTGTATTTTATGAATGAAAGGCTCTTTCTACTTGAAAACTTTCATAAGCTTAAAATTTCAGTGTAACACAGCAACTTTTCTCTGGTCTCAACTTCTGACTTAAAAATGCACATAGTTCTTGCTAGTTTGCAATTTATTTGTGAATATTACTCTTCAATAAAATACTGTTTATTGTGCTTTTGCTTCAGTATTTAGGAGGGTAAGATCTGGGGACTGGGGAGGCAGCTCATTCCATAAAGAATTTGCTCTGTAAGCATGAGGATTCCAATCTGATCTACAGAATCCATTTTACAGCTAGGTGTAGAGAGATCGGGGCCTCCCTGGAGAGAACCAAGTCAAAGAAACAGGCACATTCTGGGATTGACCTCTGTCCTCTACACACACAAAAATGACTCGCTGGTAGTTACATAAGAAATCATTTTCAAGAGACCTGTTGAGGATTCCAACATACCTTTTTTAGTTGGGCCTGGAGGTGCACACCTTTAATCTTAGCACTAAGGAGGCAGAGACAGAGAGGCAGGCAGATCTGAGTTCAAGACCAGCCTATCTACACAGTGAGTTCCAAGATAGCCAGGGTTCACAGAGTAACCCTGTCTCAAAATAAATAAATAAGTAAAAATAATAAAAATAACGCACCACAGATGAGAAGTCTAACTAGTCTTACCAACTCTCAAGTACTAAAAAATATTTTTTTTAATAAGTGTACCCCAGTTCTGGATTTCCTAAATCCTCACACTTTACCTTCTTCTTTACCTGCTACCATTTCACTGTTCATTAAAATCACCAGTTCTTGACTGATCTGAAACTGGTCAAATGGTAGTGGGAAATGCATTAAACGCTTCTTTCAATTTAAAAACTCTTGGTCCAAGCTGCTGGTATACAGTTCAGTGGTAGAGTGCTTGCCTAGCATTCAAAAACCCAGTACTCAGTACCACCACCAAAACAAAACAAAAACCTTACTACACAAAACCCTCACTATGGGTGAAAAACCATAGGATTCAGTATATTGAGATTCTTGACAATGTTTTGAATGCTGATAAAAGCTTGAGAACTGATAATGTATTATCTAATTCTCCAAATACATAGCCAACTAAAAAGAAACACTTCAAACCCCACCAGCAAAAGTGTCAAAAGTTAGACACATGTGACCTAAATGTGAACTATTTTGATGACAGCTAAAGAGTCCAGAGCTTCACACACTCTGGACTTTTGGGCTACTGAGGATCCACATGAGAGGCAGTGAGGTCATACATGCACAGTAGCAGCCAGCACAAGCAGAGCAGGAGTTACTGGTGGCTAAGAAGTGCTGTGCGTTAGTTCTTCAGATGACAGGACCAGCCCACCAACAGCACCCCGGAGTGCTGATCTGACTAATACCACACCACAGGGAACAGTGAGCTGGAAGCACTTACGAATTTTGAAATCTTTTATTTTTGTAAGGTGTCAACAAGTTACTCGAGCACAGGAAGTTGCCAGAGCCTCTGGAGCTCAATTGTATGTCATGTAGCGGGGAGTAGCGCTGAATTTGGCGTAAGACTTGATGACCTTATTCACAGCTTCCAAGAAATCCTTCTCTGTAGCAATTTTCCGCCGTGCTCGGATTGCAAACATGCCCGCTTCTGTGCAAACACTTCTGATCTCCGCTCCTGTCCAACGAAGAGAAAACAGAGTGGTTTAGTTACAGCCACCCAAAGCCTGACCGACAGGTGAACAAGACCAGCACTCACCAGTGCTGTTCGGACACAGCCGGGCTAGCAGCTCAAACCTAATGTCTCTCTCAACACTCATCGAGCGAGCGTGAATCTTAAAGATGTGAGTCCGACCCTAAAGATGAAGGAATTTACATATAGTAAAGTGAAAATCTATCACAAAAAGAAAAAATTTCAAGAATATTTTTTTCTAAAATGAACTTTCTTTTCTACCTCTAGATCAGGTAGGCTAAACTCAATCTTTCTGTCCAATCTCCCCGGCCTCATGAGTGCTGGATCCAGAGTATCAGGTCGGTTAGTGGCCATCAGGACTTTGATGTTGCCTCGAGGATCAAAACCATCCAGCTGGTTGATGAGTTCCAACATTGTTCTCTGCACTTCGTTGTCGCCCCCGGCACCATCATCAAACCGAGCCCCTGAGAAGACAACAGAGAATCATCCCATGCCCATTTAGAGCAGCTCTACTCAGGACCTGAAAACAGAAGGCCTTGGCTCACAGCCTCCCTTGCAGCAAAGTACACACCCTACTCTGAAGTTATAAAACTAACTAAAAAGCAAAATATACCAAAACAAAACAAAACGAAACAAAAAAATCACACAAAAAATATGGAGTCTATTTTGTGCTGGCCAACTACTCCTAGGCTGGGGCCAGCCCTAGAGTGTAATTGATATACCCCGAGACACTCCACTGGAGAACAGTGGTTCCTCCTTTCCCAGCAGGGAGCAACTGTAAATAGTTTCTTGGTTAGGGTTGAGATTTTTGCAACCATTTCCCTTCTCAGTGGTGGAATTTTGCCTGAATTGAACCTGGGCAAATCTCTGATTTAGAAAGAATTCACCGTAAGTTTACTTAACAGCGTTCTTTAAAGTATCTTTGAAGTTACTCCTGCAGGACATTTTGTTTTGCAAACTAATCAAGAACTCTTCTGTAGGGAGTGGAGGGACGCTGGCCCGCTCAAACATGGAGCTCTGGCAAGCATTGCCCTTTTCTCCCATTCATTCTGCCTTGCTAAAAACCTTAGATGACATTCCTGAAGCTAGCCACCAGGTCTATTCCCTTATTTGGCCACTTCCTCCTCCTGAAGCTGACTACTAAGGTCCAGCTATCAAAGTACTGAAGTCCAGCAACCAATCAAAAGCCCCTTTTGGCTCACCTAATTAACCTGCCCAATCAAAATTAAACACCTCATCCTAACACAGGGTTTCCCCTTTACCTTTATAAACCGCCATTTGTCTATGTGCCACGTCTGTCTCCTCTCGAGCCAGAGGCGGTCCATTGTTCTTCCAGGACAAATACCCCTGCCCCTTTCCCTCTCTATCTCCTTTACCACTGCATCCTAGCCCATTCTAACACAGAGCTCCCCTTTTCCTCTTAAAACTGTACCTGCAAGGTCATTTCTTGCTGTTTTCTGATTCAGAAAACAGCCACTTTAATTTTTCTTCCTGCTTAATAAAGGATTTCTGTGAAAACAGATGCTTGGGTGTGGTTTGTGCCTAACCCGGGGTCCGGGAGGAAGCCCCCACTGTGTGTGGGTCCCCTTCAGGGAGTTTCAAGATGGCAGCTATTACCTTGGCTAGAGTCTCCAGGTACTAATAATCTGGAGAAAGCTGGAAAAAAGCTATCCAAAGAGTATTAGGAGAATAGAGATGGCTCAGCAGCTAAGAGTACTTGCTGTTCTTACAGAAGACCCCAGCTCCATTCCCCAAATCCTGCAGACTGCTCACAACTGCCTGACTCTAGCTCTCAATCATCTGACAAACTCTTCTGTCCTCTGCAGGCGTGGTCACACATGTACACAGGCACCTATGAATGGCATACATGTACTCAAGACATACACATTTTTTGAATAAAGAAAATGGGCTGGAAAGATGACTCAGGGGTTAAGAGCATAAACTGCTCTTGCAGAAGACCCTCTGAGTCAGTTTCCTAGCATCCACAGCTCACAGTCACAACTGCCTATAACCCCAGCCCCACAGCAATGTGACACCTTCTAGTGCCAGGCCTCTGCAGACACTGTACTCACACACGCACATACCCACAGATGTTATCAGACATTCTAAACAACTAGAAAAAAGGTCATACCCAGAGCAGCAACAGCATTAGCAGCTTCCTCAGCACTGTGTGTTCAGCACTGGGCAACTGAGAAAGCAAGACACCATTTGAAAAAGGCTTCTGCTATGTTGGTGGCTTGGCAGCCCAAGAGCCCCTATGAACCACATTTGGGAAACTCAGCAAGTGACGCAAAACCAAATGCTGAAACCTGGCCAAAAGAACAGTGCTAGCCTGTGGAGACTACACTTTGAATCAGATCTGTGCAGCATTCAACAAGCGAAAAACCAGGGACACAGCAGAGTGTCGACTCAGGCTGGGGCACTGGGAATTGCACAAGGGTGGGGCTAGCATCCGTTCTGAGGAACCCTGAAGGAAGGCTCAGAGATGTTTTGGGCATCTGAGACTCCATCTGTTGAAGTCCCACCCAAAGACTGGAACAGCATCTGTAATCTAGTATCTAAAAAGGAAAGACTAGAGCAGCCTCGTATCACAGAGGAGCTCCCAAAGCTAAGACAGGTACACTGAGACTCTGAGTCCAGTTTCCATGCCCTATATCCCGTGTGCATCGGACTCACTCTAAGACGAGAGACACTAGATCTGAAATGTGAGCATGACTATGTTCATCGTCTCTGTCCCCTGTATCTCCTCTACATGCATGCCTCCTTATTCAATCCCCAAAGTCAATTAAGCAAGCCAGCTTAGCTGTTCTTGCCTGTATATTCCTTGCCCTAATCACTCTTTTCTTTTCTTTTGCATTTTTTTCATTTTCTATTCCCCAAGTATGTAACTTGCCCTGGTTTGCAGAGGCTCTGGGGCCGAAGAGATGGACCAGTTCTTGCATTATCTGTTAACCCAGCTTAACTGCAACAGTAACTGGAAGATATACTGATGATGATGAAGAACTAAGAAGGAAACTTTCCGTGATAAAAGCAATCTTAAAGAATTTATGACCACTAACTCAGTTCCACAGAGGATAATGAAAACACATTTTTAGACTAAAAAGAACAAGTGCATCTGTGAAGCCACAGGAAAAAACAAGCAATGCTCGGACAGTGGTTACACAAATGAGTGTTGAGAAAACATCAAACACTACAAAGGCAGCAAAAATGACAGGAACCAATGCACATCTTCAACACTATCTCTGTGGGCTCAAGCAGTCCTAGTCTATGGAGTGAGGTTCCACGTCAGCCAGGGACACACAGTGAGACACTGTCTCATAGTGCACGCGCGCGCGCACACACACGCGCACACACACACACACACACACACACACACACACACACACTCGCACAAATCAAGACCCAAGGGTCAGGGAATGGCTCAGCTGGTAAAGTGCCTGCCGTGCAGTTGTGAGGACCCATGTGCCCCTTGGCACACGTGTCAAAGCTGGGGCACAGAAGTGCACTGTAATCCCAGTGCTGGGGAGGTGGGCGGACAGGAGGGTCCTTGGAGTTTATCTGCCAGCCAGTCTAGCCACACTGGTGAGCTCTGACCCAGTGAGAGGCCCTATCTCCACAGATAAGGTGGAAAGACACCGAAGAAAACAATGCCACCCTCTGGTCTGCACACACGTGGGCACACACGTGCATGTGCATCCTTAAACACTAATTCCCCGGTCAAAAGACAGGGTAGAGGACTGGATTAAAACAGGACCCATCTGTTTGTTGCTTCTCCGGTGACAGGATAAAAGGATAGAAAGGTGCTCCAAAAAAATAAATAAAATTAGGAACAGCGGGTGTCACTGAAGGCCAATAACCAAAAAGTGAACCTCCTGAGATGAAAAGGCTTCTGTATGGCAAAGTAACAGTTAACTGAACGAAGAGACAGTCTATACACCTGACAGAGAATTAATGTGTAGAAAACAAAGAACTCAAACCAATAACCAGAAAATCAAAGAAGAAAAGCCCAATTAATAAATGTGTTAATGATTTGAGTATAAGTGACAGTTCTTAAGAAATACAAACGACCAACAAGCATATGAAAGTGCTCAACTTTACTAGTCATAATAGACACACAAATCAAAACTACAATGCGGGGGCGGGGGGACTGAAGAGATGGCTCAGCGGTTAAGAACATTTGTTCTCTTACAGAAGACC